CGATTAGACTTCACTCTTTATGTCCATATCGATCAAATGCAGTGCTTGAATTGGAATAAAAAAGGTGCCAGTACTCTAAATCAGCAACTGTTTCAAGTCAATTTATTTATACAGCCCAAAAACAAGTATTTGGCACAAAGTCATAGTAGGCCTATATCCTATAATGCTGGTGGGTTTGTCTCTTTACTGTATATTTTAGAAAGGCTCACTGTACTTAAACAAAATGACTCAGCGTGCATCTGAGATTAGAGGGGGTGCAGTGGTAAAGTGCTATTTTTATAAGTGGGGAGTGGACCTGACACCTTGGGGGGGTCCGGGGGCATGCTCCCCGGGAAGATTTTTTTTAAATATTGAAGTTAGATGCATCAATCTGGTGCACTTTGAGAGCAAAATGAAGAGATATATGGATACCTCTCAACATCCATATGAAACAACTGTAAACAGATTTACTTTTTCTTTATGGATATAAAACAAAGTAAAGCCTGACTCCTACTGGCGGCTGGTTAAATGACTCCTCGTCCCTGAGTACACTCACCATCTTTCAGCAGGAAAGGAGAGAGGGAATGCTTGTCTGGCGACAACCGCTGTCTTTTCGCACTATTATTAAGCCACGCTAACATTTTTGAAATGCCAACGTTATGTGATGTCTTTTCTGCTCTAGTCTATCGCTGCGGCGCGTCATAGGTCAGTGGCGAACCGTCAGGGCCTTCAAGGTATTCCCTGACACACTCAGATAAAACAAACAAAAAATCGATTTAATTATATAAATCAAATGTAATCAAATGTATATAAAATGAATAAATGAGAATCGTATCTGTGTTGTTGATCTGTAATATTACAGTGTTACGTTGATTTGTTTGTCCTTGTCGGACCATGCACTACGCATTTCAGTGGTTTTGTGTTAGAAAAGAAAGCAACCAATCAGATCTTGTTCTGGGTCTCTGGGTAGAATATCCTTCAACCAAGGTATTCTACATCCTTGATCGAATGCCCTGGCCGTTGCACTGAATGAGAGCGTACGTTTGGATTGACAGTTTGATCAACCAATCATATATTGATTTGTAGCCAATGGGCGTATTCTTTCAGAGTTTCCCTCGGTTCCAGGGTACTCTAGAAGGCCCGCTAGTTAACTGGTTCGAGACAGAGGATCTAGATGAATGCGACGAAGCAATTCATGTAGTTTTATTGTTTTTAACGTTGAAATGACAAGTGCAAGACACGGTTCGCCACTGTCATAGGTACGCTGGGCATATTTGTTGTCATGCGTCAATCAGGGCCGGACTGGGACAATAAGTCAGGCCGGGAATTATACACCCAGCCAGGCCACTACCAGTTTTTTGTGTCATTTTGCTGGATTTATTTGTCAATATTTACAGCTTTGCTGCCCATAGTGATAGCCCTCTAGTTTAAATCTACTACCCAAAAATAAACATATGGAGATGGGTTACTATTTAAAAAAAATTGCAAATCTATTTAGGAACCTGTCCATGTGAACATATTTTAAGTGGGGGTGGACCTCAAATCCTATAGGGGGGTCCGGGGGCATGCTTTCCCGGCAAAATATATATTTTAAATGTTGGACTTAAATGCATCAATCTGGTGCATTTTGAGGGGGAAATAAAGAGACTACACCCATATGACACAGAACTGTATACATTTAAATTTACCTACAGACCGTAGCCTCTCAGTGCAGTTGGGTGCCTTCTCCTCGGCCAAAGCCCCTCTTACCTGTGGGGTTCCCCAAGGCTCGATTCTGGGCCCCATCCTTTTTCTACTGTACATACTGCTCCTAGATTTAATTCTCACAAAACATAATATCCCCTTCCATTGTTACGCTGATGATGTACAGATCTATCTGCCTCTCAATCAAAATGCCAACTCACTACAGCAGTTGATGGACTGCTTAACAGAGATTAAATCCTGGCTGAGCCAAAACTCCCTCACCCTCAACGAGAGCAAGACCAAGGTCATCTTTTTTGGACCCCGACCTCCAGCCTCTCCGGTTGATATTCTGGGCTCCCTCAATAAAAACATCCTCCCCTCTGTCATGAACCTTGGAGTGACCTTCAATAGCGCTTTTAAATTTGATAAGCAGGTCAGCACCGTAGTCGAGACCTGCTTTTTTAAAATACGACTATTGACTAAGACCAAGTCGTTTTTATCTTTTAAAGACCTAGAAAGGGTTATTAACGCCTTTGTTACCTCGAGACTGGATTACTGCAATGCTCTGTATGTGGGTATCGACCAGGCCTCAATTAGACGCCTGCAGCTAGTGCAGAACGCAGCTGCACGTCTTCTAACTGGCCATAAAAAGGGTGACCACATCACCCCAATTCTGGCCTCATTGCACTGGCTTCCAGTTCAGTTCAGAATAGATTTTTAAATCCTTTTGTTTGTTTTCAAAGCCCTAAATGGGCTGGCTCCGGCCTATGTAGCCAAACTCCTCCATCGCTACACCCCAGGCAGAGCCTTAAGGTCAGCCGATCAGCTGCTGCTGATAGTGCCTAAGACCAGGCTCAAAACCCGAGGGTACCGAGCATTCGCAGCAGCGGGTCCCAGGCTCTGGAACATTTTTGCCCCTCCATGTGAGGTCGGCCCAGACCTTGGGGTTTTTTAAATCAACACTTAAAACTCACTTTTTCTCTCTGGCCTTCTAGGCTTCTCTTATCAAGAATAACTTTTATCCAAGACCTTTTCCCTCTCTAACCTCTCAAGGTTTTATTAGAGGGAAACGGTTTGTAGAGTGTCTTAGACAGGCCGGGGAATGTTACGATTCGTAGACACAGCGTACCTCCCTATCTCTCATCAATTTCCAACTAAGGCTCCAGTGGGGACCTTGTTCCCTGAGTGTGCCTCTCCACCTATGTTTCTTACTCTCTTACTTGCTACCCTTTGCCCTCAACCTATTCTAAGGGAGTGTTTGTTCTTCCGTCTGTCTGTCTGTGTGTATTCTCTTGTTCCGATTAACCCAGCCAAATTTGTGTATTCTCTTGTTCCGATTAACCCAGCCAAATGTTTTCTTGTTTTGTGTCTATATCTACGCCGGGATCCGGAGTCGAGGCTGATCTTCTTGCTGTGGTCCTGTGTCCTGGATCCTCTATGCTGAGTTCTGGATTAAGTCGTGGACTTCGGGTCGTGGCTAAACCTGTCTCTGCGGTCCTGCCTGGGTCTCGTCATGCTGCCTCTCTGAAGGCTCCCACAGGTTTGTAGTTGACATCTTCATAGATTCATCTTCTTATTACAGACACATGCATTTCCTAACATTTGGACTACCTATGCTGTAAAATGTATTATCTCTTAGATTTACACACGGCATCTCTTGCACGTCTGTCCGTCCTGGGAGAGGGATCGCTCCTCTGTTGCTCTCCCTGAGATTTCTCCCATTTTTTCCCTTTAAACTGTGGGTTTTCTCCAGAAGTTTTTCCTTGTACGATGTGAGGGACTAAGGATAGAGGGTGTCATTTTTTCCCATACTGATATTCAGAACAATCTGTGCTATTGTATTAGCTGTAAAGTGTCTATACTGTAGGCTATTTTTATTATATGTACAGCACTTTCGCTCGACCAAAAATCGTTTATAAATGTGCTATATAAATAAAACTTCATTTGATTTAAATAATCATAAAATCATAATTACATGGCCATAACTAATAACATACCATATCCAATATGAAACTTATTTATTTGTTTTTTATTCATTTATAGTTGTGAGTGTGTCTGTGCTCCTGAATCTGCCTCCCTCCTCTCCCCCTGCTCCTCTTTGAGGCAGCAGCAAAGACTAGTTTTAGCTCTCAACAAGTTTATCTTACCTTTTTTCACCTAGTTAACATTTTATTTGTATTATTCATGCATATTTTACTAATCACTACCCCCTCAAATGGAAATATGTGTTTACATAAATGGTAACCGAACCGTTTGAGACCCACTGAGATAACTTAGACTAAGTTAACTATCTAAACACTCAGAGTCCTTTACCTCACCTGAGCTGTAGTTATCAGCTTCTCAGTCTGACAGCAGAGGACTCTTCCTCCACCTTGTTGTTGAATCAGCTCCTTATATCCATTAGCGCAGCTAGCTAGCACCAGATGCTAACAACAATACACGTCACTGGTGCGCACGCTTTCTCGCTCGCGCCACACATACACTAACACACACCCTCCCGAGCTTGAATGACACACAGAGACCAATCGAGGGCATTAGTATGTATTAGTATTAGTATCTGTATGAAAGTGGCCATGTCGGCAGGCCACATCATGTAGACAGCCAGTCACCCTCTGTGAGGCAGAGTCAGACCCACATTTGCACAGCGTTTCGTTCACAATACACACATATACAAAAAAATCCTCAGGCCAGCAGGCCACTTAACAGGCCAGGCCATCGGGAAACCTCCCGGTCCTCCCGAGGGCTGAGTACCGGCACCTTGCCGGTACTCAGTAAGAAGTGCCGGTACCACATGGGTAAAAATCAGAAGTGCCAGTACTGCGTACCGGTGAGTACCGGCCCAATTCAAGCACTGATCAAATCTAGCTGGAAGCTCCTGCTGGGTGCACTGTCCTGCGAGACCTGGCTCGAAACACTGGGGCTATTGAATTATCGTTATCAGGAAATGATCGTATAGACGTAAACACAGAGCCGTTTACCCCCCCAGAGCATTTCGTTCGCAGATCTACCCACCTTGGGACCCGTTATTGTTATCGTTTTATGCGTTTCCATGTGGGCCTCGTGTGGCCGAACCGTCTATCTGATAGAGAACTGTAACAGATACGACCATTATCGTCCTTGTGTGGCTGCAGCCTTAAACTGTTGGAGAAACACACTTTTTGTTGTTTAATACCTCATTGTGAGCTGGAGTCCTTCACTTGGAACAAACCAGGACAAAGGTATATTTTTCGTTAAAATTAATGTTTGAGTGACACATTTCATCCAGCAGTCAGCGGCCCTAAAACAAGGGAATGACATGTTTATAATGTGCTGAAAAACACAGAAAATATGCAGGGATGTGAGTCTGTCTCTAAGGCCTTTTTTATTTTTGGTACATTCTGATAATTTAAACAAAGAGAACAGAATCAAACTGAAAACATCATGAATATTTTCTAGATACATTCATCATTGGTTATTTTTTTAAACCAGAACTGACTGCCAACTCAACAGGAACTATCAAAACATCCCAATCAAAGTTTAAAGTCACAACATTTTATGAACCAAACAGATTATTCGAGAAACTAATCGGCATATTAATGAACATTGAAACTAAATTCCTTCAATGCAGCTTAACAAGGCTAGCAATTAAACCCTGGACATATGATATTTTATAAAAGGAATAACAAGACTATTAGAAAACCATGGTTGAAACATAGCATAGTAGAACAATGATTTGAATTACATCGGGAGAAACAGCATCTCTGTGGCCTTCTTTTGGCATAGTGTGAACGCTAGGGCTGTGCATCTTCACTGGTTTCACGATTCGATTACGATTATCCTCGATGTATCATGATTCATACCAATACGTTGCACCCTCAATTGTCTATATTACTGCACATGGCTTCTTTTTCATCAATGCATACATGCACTAAATACATATGAAGTCTCTTTTTTATCATTTAGAAAGTGCTTCAGAAATCAATAACATAAATGTCTTGACATTAAAGGTGGGTTAGGTAAGTTTGAGAAACCGGCTCGAGATACACTTTTTGTTATATTCCATGGAATGCTCTTAACATCCCCATAGCCGGCCCGGCTAAAATAACTGGATGGCCTACCTGCCTGTCAGCTTTCCATCTGTGAAAAAACTTATCTTGTGCGCGTTTGTGTGTGTTGGAGGAGGGGCTCTGTAAGGAAGTGGCAGATTTTTTCCGGTTGTGTATTTTCAAATTCTAGCGCACTCAAGCTGGTTTCTCCAAAATGACCTACCCCACCTTTAATTTATAAACCAAAGTAAACCAATTCTATAGGTATAGCCTACCTATATCTGTGTTGTTCCATCCTCAAAAACAAAAAACAAATGCTTCTGCAGTCTAGCTGCAGCTTCTAGCAACGGTCTTCTGTTTAAAAAAGGACACTGAATGTGGCATCACAAACATGACTTGAGTCTGAACACAGCAGACAACAGGAGTATTTACAACAGCATATAAAAACAAAAATACTGCATGTGGGTCCAAACTTACATTCTCTGTCTTACTGTTACATAAATCCCATGAATGTATGAGATTAAGTTAGCCTCATCATATCTCAATCAATGATTAAGTGAATAATAAAGTTTCTATCAGGTTACTATCAGCCTGTCACTCATTATTTTCAGGGAGGGGGAGGGGTTCGGAGCTGCAGAGAGGAGACGGAAGCTTTTTCCTCCTGCCTTCACAAACTTACACACATATTTATTGCCTGAAAATAGCACATTCATACTCTGAAATCCAAGACTTAATTAAATCCACCAAAAACCTGACATGATTGTAAGGCGAGTATTTAAAAAAAAAAACACAAATCCCTTTGTGTCTGAGCCGCAGCGACACGGACTGATTGTGCCGCTGTGGGGTCTGTTCCTTGATCTCTGCGTCACCGACCGATTTCATATTCAAGTGATATAAAAAAAATTTTTTATTGTAAAGCAGCGGCCAGAAAATCAGGAAGCATCGTTACTACGCTATAATCGATTATGTTCTGTCACTGCATCGATGAAGAATCATCCACGTCGCGATGCATCGTAGAAACGATTAATTTAAACACGCCTAGTGAACGCTGGTTAGAACATAAAAAACGGTTGAGTCAGATTTAGGTAAATACATGATGGGTTAGGGAGAAAACAGCATCTCTTCACACCAGTACGGTTTCTCTCCAGTGTGAACACGTTGATGTGTTTTGAGAGCACCTGATGTCGTGAACGTTAGCCCACACTCTTCACAGCTGTACGGTTTCTCTCCAGTGTGAATACGTTGATGTGTTTTGAGAGCACCTGATTGAGTGAACGTTCTCCCACACTCTTCACAGCTATACGGTTTCTCTCCTGTGTGAACACGTTTATGTGTTATGAGACCACCTGATGTCGTGAACGTTAGCCCACACTCTTCACAGCTGTACGGTTTCTCTCCAGTGTGAATACGTTGATGTGTTTGGAGAGCACCTGACTGAGTGAATGTTTTCCCACACACTTCACAGCTGAACGGTTTCTCTCCAGTGTGAATACGTTGATGTGTTTGGAGATTACCTGATGTCGTGAACGTTTGCCCACACTCTTCACAGCTGTATGGTTTCTCTCCTGTGTGAATACGTTGATGTGCTTTGACAGCACCTAATGTAGTGAACGTTTTCCCGCACTCTTCACAGCTGTACGATTTCTCTGCCATGTGAATGCGATGATGTGTTTTGAGATCACTTGAGTGAGAAAAATGTTTCCCACACTCTTCACAGGTGTACGGTTTTTCTACATTGTGACCACGATGATGCGTTTTGAGATGATCTGATTTCTTGAATGTTTTCCCACACTCTTCACAGCTGTATGGTTTTTCTCCTGTGTGAATACGTTGATGTGATTTGAGAGCACCTGATTGAGTGAACGTTTTCCCACACTCTTCACAGCTGTATGGTTTTTCTCCAGTGTGAACACGTTGATGTGATTGGAGAGCACCTGATTGATTGAATGTTTTCCCACACTCTTCACAGCTGTACGGTTTCTCTCCAGTGTGAATACGTTGATGTGTTTGGAGATTACCGGATGCCGTGAACGTTTGCCCACACTCTTCACAGCTGTATGGTTTCTCTCCTGTGTGAATACGTTGATGTGCTTGTAGATTACCTAATGTAGCGGCCGTTTTCCCACACTCTTCACAGCTGTACGGTTTCTCTCCAGTGTGAATACGTTGATGTGTTTGGAGATTACCGGATGCCGTGAACGTTTGCCCACACTCTTCACAGCTGTATGGTTTCTCTCCTGTGTGAATACGTTGATGTGCTTGTAGATTACCTAATGTAGCGGACGTTTTCCCACACTCTTCACAGCTGTACGGTTTTTCTCCAGTGTGAATACACAGGTGGAGCTTTAAATCTCCAGATGTTTTAAAGGATTTATCACATTGCTGACAGCTGTGACGTCTCTCTCTTCCTTTCGGTTTCTAAAACAGATGGTCAGAGAAAGAGAGAAAGTAAATTTAAAAAGCATAAATACATTAACAGTTAACACAATGAAAACTCACTTAATACAAACTTTCAGTTAACAAAATACTGCTTTTAATAACTTTTTGTATTATATTTGATACAGTAATACAGCAACATTCTAACCACAGTATATACCAGAGGTGGGGGACTCGAGTCACATCACTTGACTCGAGTCAGACTCAAGTCGCATATTTTTGGACTTGCGTGACTAACATTGATAAAAGACTCGACTTGGAATTCACGACTTAACTTAGGCTTGAGACAGATGACTCGAAAGGACTTCACTTTTTAAAATAAAATATTTGCATTTGTTTTCGTATTATACGAAGCCCCTAAAGGGCAATGAAAAATAAATAAGAGAGACGAGAAAGATCCTGGTGAGCCAAGTAGGAAGTGGAGCGCACAGGAGACAACCGTTTCATTGCAGACTGTTATGTTTATGTTGGGAAATGGCAGTGCATACATTATTTGAGATATATTTCGAACTCGGACTACATTTTAGGGATATTTTGACCGGAGGTGTGGAGATATTTGTTTAAGCACCAGATCGGCAAAACAGGAGAGTCTGTGAACCAGTCTTGATCTATGAATTCATGTCTGTGACTCTCACAGTATCTGCTGCCCACAGCTGTTTTATAGAAGGAAAACCTCCTTCACTTCATGAAATCTCTGCAGCAGCAGGAGGCAGTAACGTGTAACTCGACAGAATCTGAGAAGAGCAGCACCAGCTGCAAAAAGCTGTGCCTTTTACTGTTTACTTCACTGTGTTTACCTTCATTAGAACAGCTAAAGAGCGACCACAGGCTGCTACGTTTTAACCACACACACATCAAACTGCCTGATTATTCCCCCTATTGCTCATTTTATGAAGGAGATGTCCAGTCACCAAGGCGCATGATCACACACACACACACACACACACACACACACACACACACACACACACACACACACACACACACACACACACACACACACACACACACACACCACACACACACACACACACACACACACACACACACACACACACACACACACACACACACACCACACACACACACACACACACACACACACACACACACACACACACACACACACACACACACACACACACACACACTACACACACACACACACACACACACACACACACACACACACACACACACTACTCTCTATTGTTATAATAGAAATAAATAAATAAAATTCTACTTAGCATAAAATCTGTCTTTTAACTGATTTAAATGCAGAAACTGGGGTTATTCATCAGAATTTAGTATGAATTGACTTGCTTGACTCTCACCACAGAAACTTGGTTGAGACTTGTAGGTTAAGCTTTGAGACAGTTTGCACATGTATGACTTACCAACACCTCTGGTATACAACAACATTCTAACCACAGTAAACACAGTAACGTTCTAACCACCGTAAATACAGCAACGTTCTAACTACAGTAAACACAGTAACGTACAAGGGCGTGGTTATAGCAACAAACTAGGCACACGTCTTTTTAGTGAGCTCCTGGCGAAACTCGATTAAACTCCTGTACATTATCCTTTAAAATGTGAGACACTAATATACTTGCCTGGCAAATAAAAAAAACTTAATTCAGAAAGAGCAATAAATGAAATAAAAAAATGAACTGGGGGCAATAACTACAGATCCATTGGAAATTAATCAGGCCTTTGTTCTATCACACACAGGCTCCGCCCTGTACTGGACTCTATGGGTACTACTCTTCATCAAAAACACTTTCCTAGATGGGCTGTCTCATGGTTCCTGCAGGTTTCACCAACTCAAATGTAAAACTTTTTAAGACCACTTTTAATAGAATTCAATACCTATTTCACGGCAAGAAAGTATGAAGGAAAATTGCTATGAAAGAAGAAATACGTCCCATAATTACTTACAAAGTAAATGTATTCATGTTCAACATAAGAACGATGACTGAACATAACAGCATAACAGTACACAGAACTGTGTTGGCATGTTAGAAAAAAAGTGTGTGTGTGTGTGTGTGTGTAGTGATAGATCGTATACCTCCTGGGTTTTAGGCGGCGGAAGTGATGTAATCGTGGATGAGAAATCGGCAACTTTTGTATTCAAAGTTCAAAGTTTACCCTAAATAGAGGAGAGTTCCGCTCACACACGTCTTGTCACAAATATGAGGTTCATTAACGAATAATGAGATCATACTCTAGAACAACATTAAAATGTGTGAAATATACTTACATTTCAATAATAATGGTTTGATTATTAACTAATAACTTACAGTTCTTATTTGTGTTGCATTTGTGGATAAAACCCAAAGAACATTTAGGATATATATATATATATCAGGGTATATGCAGGAATCCTGAAGTCAAATTTAATACCTTTTAAGGCGAGACACCCCAGGTGAATAGGGTAATTTTTTTAACTTAAAGGTATCAGCTAGAAATTTCTCCAGTTAATTACTTACAATAAGGCAATTGTCTTTTGTATTACAAGTTTTCTGAAATAGCATGTTTAAATATGCAAATTATCCATTATCTCATTAAATATGCACATATTTTAACACATTTCAGGAATCGAAATCTGAACTTTGGATATAGCCAGATTCAAAATTCTTGTTTCATTTTGTAGTCATATTAGTATCTAAGGCTTTTACAGAAGGGATATTGGATATCTCTTTTTATCACTCCATAAATCAGAAAATACTGTCAACAGCCCTAAAATATCAATTTTCGCCATGTTTTTAGGTATACAATGTTGTATAATTCAGGCTATGAATTATATATGAACAAACCCTTCATTAAAAGCCTTCATAATATTGATGGGAATATAACTGGAAGGTTTGGTGTATGTACGTGCTACTGAAGTTGAAATTTCGAACTCAGAGTAGGAGAAAAAACTCATTTTGAGAAAACGACCTTTAAAGATTGCAGTGAGGCGCTAGCTAAACCCTCCTGTTCTTTGGATGACAGCTTGCGCATCGACGCACTCCGTGAAGGTATTTCATGTTCAGGGTCATTTTTTTATAACCTTGCTTCGTGCAAGTGACAATTGTTGTCGTCTTCTCTGTGAACGTTTTTTTTCGCCGTTCTTTTGGCATTTTGAGATTTCAATTTCTAGCTGAAAGCTAACCAGGAAGTGTTTTAGCACACCACGTGACGCATCTGAACGAATCACGTTGTCAGAAATTGACACCAGCCAATGAGATTTTGTTTCTTGGTTTAAGACCCCTTTGTGCTTTCACGATTGGTTGCTGATACAAAGGAAATGACCATATTTGGATCAGATGCGATTGTGCAGGAGAGACACAGCTTTCCAGCGATACCTCTGTTGACATGGTGCACACAGCGGTCGCGGTACTTTATGTTACGTTAGAATGCTAACTTTTGGTGAATTTAGGAGAAATCTACAGACGCAAATAGACAAACTATAGTAAAATAAACACTTAAATGTGTATTTTGTACGTTTTCCTTCCAAAAGCCTGAAAGAAAACATGTTATGGAATCAAAATAGCACAAAATCTCAAAATTGACCAGTACTTGAAAAACGATGTTTTTGCCTGCCGTGTCTCGCCTTAAGACCTTTTTTAAGACCCTTTCCATACATTTTAAGACCTCATCGCAACTTCGAGTTCAAACCGGTTACATTGGCGACACACTTTACCTCACATTTACTATATTGATTGTAAGATAGCACAACTAAACAGAGTGCAGACAGACTACTGAAGCCTCCTTTCCACATTCAACCTCTCTGTGAAGGTCAGGTTTAATGCAGTATGCTGCTTTGTTGCTTCTGTACTCTGTGCTCTTTCATTCCAGTAAAACTCCTCAGAAACCATTATAAACCAGTATTTGACCAATAAACAAAACAATTGACAAAACTTTGAACTATGAAATATATTAAACTTTGGTGAGCTTCAGCGGGGTAATGCCATATGGGAGCTCCCTCACAAATACCCAGGGGTTAAATTGGGCTGGGGCTGTCCGGGGATAAGCCCGGCACATAGGACGATGCTCTGACGTCATCACCCTCACACATTTGTCATATGTTTACAAAAAACGATATATATGTTAAGACTTTTCTCGTTCTTAATATAGACTATATTTAGGGTCGATATGTGTTGACCTTACTTTAAAATAGCAGATCTCTGTGACCGGATATAGTTTGGCTTAGACCGCGGCCCCACGAGGACGCATACAGTAAAAAGCATACGCAAACGTAAAAAAGTCTTCCGTTCACACGCATTCGATTCATTAACGTGTCCGTTCACACTAGACCGCTGGAAATGCTGTAGTACATATGCCAGGCCTGTAAGTGGCGCTGCTGCCGCCACAAAATACACCAAAAGCAGCGAAGAAGACCCCGGAGCATGGTTGCCCTTCTGTTTATTCTCCGCGGTGGACGGCGTGTTCTCCTGCTGTATATGTATAGTGATTTTTGTCTCTTGGAGAAATTAAATTGCAACATCAAATACAAAAGTTAATCTGAAACAAACTCAAATACCATAATGAAATTAATTCACAAATTATGATTGTTATAACTTAAATGTTATACCTGGAAACACAAACACAAAACCAAAAATACTACATTTAATATGCTCGTCTCTTGTCCTGGGTGACAGATTACGTCACTTCCGCCGCCTAAAACCCAGGAGGTATAGGATCTAGCCGCTGCTGCACTAGCTAACGCTACATTAGCAAAACAAACGCTATTTTAAAAAAAAAAAAGGTGCAGCGGGCTACAAACATGTTCCCCTCAACTGGTTTCAACCTAGCACTACATGTGATGTTTTCCAACTAAATATGGTTGAACTTACACTTCCCCATATTTGTTTGTAAATAGATTCGAAGATACCTTAGTTTCTGACTGCCGCTGGCTTGGTTGCTTGGTTACTAGCTGGGTGTTCTCCGATAAGGGGTTGGGGAAACAAAGTTAGTGATTACTGGTTCCATGTTGATTTATCTCAATACGAATTGTTGGGGGGAACTGAAGGGCTATTACCATACTGGTTACTTTGCAGCCCGGACATTTCCCCCAAAACACATTTAGACGCGATCGCAACACAGAAGTACCTTTCAAATCCGATCATTTTTAAGACCTTCTAAATCATATTTAAGACCTTTATTATTTGTTTGATCATATTTAACACTTTTTAAGGCCTTAAATTCTGGCCACAGGACCTGATGGAATCCCAATTTACATGTATACATTTTTCAATGCAAAATTGATAGCCCCATTGTTAAACATGTATGCGTTGGAATCATTAGAGCAGGGCAACCTCCCCCTTCGCTACAAAGTGCCTTAATAACTCTTATTTTAAAGACAGGTAAATCATCATCCGAATGTGGCTCTAACAGACCAATTCCATTTTTGAACTCTGACGTAAAGATCATTGCTAAAGCCTTGGCTATGGGACTGGAGAGGTGCCTGCCACAGATGATACACTCAGATCAAAGCGGCTTTGATAAAAATGGTCAGGGATTCCATAATGTAAGGAGAGTTACGTTTTGAGAAGGAACCCCGGACAAGGCCATTTTGTCACTCGATGCAGAAAAGACGTTTGACAGAATCGAATGCCCTATCTGCTAGAAGTGCTTTGGTCTTGATGAATAATTTCTTAAATGGATTAAAATTGTGTTTGTTAATTCGTCCGCAGTAGTATTGTCAAGTTTCCTGCGCTTTTTGTGTGTATTCCCCACTTGAAAGGGATGAGGCATCTACCGGACTTTGGGAACAGGATTTCACTCCAGTGACACAGCTTCTTTTCAATACTTTTTATTTGATTGGCAAGTTCACTTTATGCAGTCACTTTATGCAGGTGAAAAACCTTTGAAAACAAAAAAGAGAACATTTTAGAATTTGTAACCATGTAAATAAAGCAGATTCTTTTAACTTGACTTTTTCTGGAAATGTTGACAAATCAAGTTAATTATTATTTTTAAACTAGAAACTATTATTTCCTCCTTTAACAGAGGTATTCAGTTAATAAAATAAGACTTTACTAATAACGCTTCTAAAGCAAATGGATTCTTTATAAGACATTACTTATTTCTAAACAAGAAAGCTTCTTTCTAAGATAAATAAACAGCGCATCTCTCTGAATGTGCCGCACAATTAACGCAGCACATTGAAACCACACAAACAATGCTGCACAGCGCGCTCGCGCTCTAACAAGACACGTGCATACACACAAACAATTCAACAGAACATTCACCAGCGGCTCTGCGGAGCTCTCACAGCATGATGGATGTGACCTTACCGGCTGCCTGTCCTGACTCGGCAGAAGTGCCTCCCGTCTACACGCTTCCGTCTACTAGGATCGCACACAGGTACTATTTAAACCCTCCTTGAGGATGCAGCACGGGGCTCTGTAATTAGGGTGATTACACCCAGCTTGCCAGAGGAGGCAGGACTGCCTGCAATCATTACATCTGTTGTCTATCCTATTAATTGGTGGTTTGTCTTTAAATGAAACATATTTGTAGTGTTTATGATTTAAATTCTGAATAAAGTTAAGATATTTTGTTATTCTATGTATCCATATCTATTAATATTCGACCACTTGTCATCTGTTTTTTATTTTATGTTTATTAAAGCCTTAGGCTCTGTTTGACTTTACAAGTATTAACCAATAATTGTATTTCACAACCGTTTAAGCTCTTTCTCGGCACGAGACAAGGCTCTCATATTTTGTGATAGCCATGGAGCCGTTGGCAATAGCCTTACGATCACACCCTTTGATTTATGGTATTAAGACAGGAGCATCGTATAGCATTGTATGCGGATGATGCCATAGTGTTTTTATCAGGTCTTGCTAAATCAATTCCATCCCTCTTAAAAGTAATCAATCAATTTGGTAAATTCTCTGGTTTTAAGTTTTATGAACAGGAGGGAAGAAATCCAAAATGACCTTTCCCATTTGTAAATGCCATAGATGGTTTTTCTTATCTGGATATTAAAATTACAGCAAAGATAGACATTCTCAATGTGTCTAATTACGAACCCTTGTTAGCTTAAGGGTCAGAAGATTTCACTAGGTGGACAACATTGCCTCTGTCCTTAGTGGGAAAAATGTATATAATTAAGATGAGTATATTGCCAAAATGTTTATATCTTTTTCAATCAATCCCACTAGCACCTCCTCCTCCATTTTTCTCTAAAATAAGAAAGCTACTTTCTAAATGTATTTGGAATAACAGGAAGCCAAGACTTAGACTCTCTCTGTTGTATTTACCTTGAAATAGGGGAGGGTTACAACTACCACATTTTCAGTGGTAATACTGGGCGGCACAATTGAGGGCTACAATGTTTTGGTTTTAAAGAAGAGTTGATTTGCCATGGTTACGAGTTGAGTTGTTGTCTTCAAAGGGTTTGATGCTGGATAGCTTTCTATACTCTGCTCCTTCTGAAAATCGAAGGAAAAAAACAACGGAACCCTTTGTGAAAAATAAAATGCTTGCATGGTATGAAGCACATACATATATAGTAGGGGTGTAACGGTTCACAAACATTTCGGTTCGGTACGTACCTCGGTTTTTAGGTCACGGTTCGGTACGTTTTCGGTACAGCAGAAAAAAAAAATCACAAAAAATTATATATTAAAAAAATTATTAAACTGTGAATATTAGTATTCACTCAAATAAATACAAAATATAATAAAATAAACAGTAAGGTGCAGCATTTGGATGAACTGAAATAATCTGTATTTGAACTTTACTGTACTAGTACTGAGTACCTAAGCAGCCAGTTTGACATTATGACTTGCTTGTCATTGTATTTTCATGTTTCGCTAGGGACAGAGGTAGCAGATACAGCCAGGTAGCGCTTTGCTAACATGGCAACATAAGGATATTTGGCATTTGTAATAGCTTTGGCTTGGTCTGAACTCTTTGCGAGTGGTGGAGGCTTAAATGCTAGCGGGAGTTGGGTTTGCACTTCAGTCTTTTTTCTTTTGGTACCGGTGATATTCACGTTCGGGTGATGCCTTTTCAAATGAGTGTGCAAGTTTGATGTATTGCCAGCCGCGTAACCAATTTTAGTTGAACAATGCTGACAAACAGCTTTCGTTCGGTCCACCTGTCTTTGTCCGTCATCCTTGTACGTAACTGCGAAACCAAAATGTTCCCAAACCAGAGACTTCAATGATGCTGGAGGATTTTCGAGCTCAACTTTATCTGCGTTCGCCATTTCCTCAAATTACTGACTACATTTGAACGCATCCCTGTGACCAGCTCTCATAGTATGCCTCTCGTCCAATTAAATGACTTGCTCGCTCTATGACGCGTTGAACACAATGTGAGCAAATTACTCTGAATGCTGCGACGCAGCACCTGAGATTACTTCCAAAAAGTTGTTCACGTTCTCCATTTTTTACGTTTAACGTTATATTCGTTCTGTACACTTCGGTACACACCTGTACCGAACCGAAGGGCCCGTACCGAATCATTTCGGTACGGGTACGTGTACCATTACACCCCTAATATATAGGCAACTCCCCAATGTTGTCTTGTTTCTCACCTATTTGGGAGTATGTCGTGCCACAGAAACACTTTTTCAAGTACCTGCAAGTTAGGAGTTTTATATTGGCAAACTTAAACAACTTGTTGCAACAACCTTCTATGTCCACACTAGAGATACTGTCTATAAAAAACGTTATCAGCAAAGGGTTACTCAATTTTATAACATAATGGTAAACCATAAAGACAACTCATAAAGTAAAAGACAGGCATGGATAAAAGACGTATTAGAGGATATTTCAGAGGATATTTCAGAGTGTGATTGGGGTAAAATGGGTTCAAAGGCACAAACACAAACTATTAATACACGTCTTAGATTAATACAATATAATCGGATAATGAGAACGTACATCACCCTTGTGATGTTTAAGAAGTTTAACCCTAACATTCCTGATCTATGTTATAAATGCAAGATCCATGAAGTACCCTGAATCATTGCTTGTGGGATTGTGTAGAGGTTAAAAGATTGTGGACTTCGGTGACAAGATATATTTCCCAAATAACCTTCTCGCTAACCTTTAAGCCCTAAACTTTGTATTTTAAGCATTTATCCAGAAGACTGTTCGCTATCGGTTAGGGAAAGAAAAATGGTTAACCAATGCCTTCTACAAGCCAGGCGCTCAATTGCTTTGTGTTGGAAACATGTTGGTTGCCCCTCCCTGGGCCACAGGTTAAACAATTTAACTTTGAGTCTGGCTCTTGAGAAACTCACATATATACTAAGGAAGAAAGCTTCTGAATTTTACACCATTTGGGAATTATTTTTGGAATTTATAAAAAGTGGGAAAATTGCAGAAGTGATGGAAGGTTAAAGTGAAATGACTAAACTACTACTACTGAGGAAATGTTGAATATGGTTAATATATTTGGAGAATTGTAAGCTGTACTCTGCTCTGTCTGTGGATCTGCTTTTATTGTATTTTTGTTGAATTTGCTAATGTAATTATATTATTGGTCTGTACTTTAAACTGATTGATGATTCTAGTATCTGCACACTTTTTTATTTTGCTAGCATCATCTAATGTTGGGGAATGTTCATTTGTATGTGATAAATGTAAAACAATCTATAAATAAATGTTTTGAAAAATACAGCAACTTTCTAACCTATATCCAACCATATTGTGCATTAATATTGTATTTTTTAAAACAGGTTGTGATCTTTCATTTGGGGATAACAGTCTTAGGAATATATTGTGATGCACACTGACCTGAGCTCCAGGGGTCTTTTTGTTCTCCTCCATGCTGCTCTCAGTGCTCCTTCTCCGGCTGTGTCTCTGAAATAATCACAAAACACGATAACTCAATACAACCGACAGACACAACAAAACAAATCTACGTCTTAGGTTAATAGCAGAGGTGAGAAGTAACTAAGTACATTTACTCAAGTACTGTACTTAAGTACTATTCAGAGGTACTTGTACTTTACTATTGAAAAGGAATCTAACTTCGATACAACCAACTGCAGTGTTTTCCACAGATCTGAAATATACTTGTGTACAGGAGGGATAGTTAATCGATCGCAGATGGCATCATCTAACCCTGCTTTATTGTCGGATTTCTGCCATGTCTCTACCACTTTAGTTTGAACATCTCTGTTATTAAGTTATGGAATACTAAATAAATAAGGAAGGGGCGTGTGGTGCAGTGGGTTGTGAGTTGGTGTTCGGATCAGGGGGTCACAGGTTCAAACCCCACTGCAGTGCAGTCAGCATGTCGTTGTTTCCCTGGGCAAGACACTTCACCCCAAATTACTCCTGTGGGGATTGCCCACAGTATAGAGTATGTAAGTCGCTTTGGATAAAAGCGTCTAACAAGTAACATGTAATATAATCAGGGGTGCACATAACTTTTTTGCCCTGGTTCTCAAAGGAGCACCTGGAGATGTTGCTTGGTGCTCATCCATAAAATGAAATAAATCTTAACTTTTGAGGGGGTCTTGACTTTATTTGCCAGACACACGGCACTGAACACACACACTGAGGTGAACACAGAACACACATGCAGAGGTGAACACAGAACACACATGCAGAGGTGAACACAGAACACACACACTGAGGTGAACACAGAACACACATGCAGAGGTGAACACAGAACACACATGCAGAGGTGAACACAAGACAACATTAGCACGACCAGTAATCCTACAAGCTGTCATCACTACCCTCCTGACTGTTCTCCTCACTGTCTTCCTCTCTGTCAGACATGGTAGCTGATGATGTAGGCCTACTTCTTTCTCTCTGATTGAGTCTGCAATTAGCTGCTTGCATCCACAAGTCAACAGCTGGTTTTGGGTCGAAAGTCTCTGTTGTCATCTTAGACAAGTGGATGTAATCAAATAAGTACAGGGCTCGACATTAAGGACTGCCCGATGGCCCGGGGCCATCTAGTATTTAGCTCGGGCAATGAAGCCTCACCTACTGGTTGCCCGATCGGGCAATCTATTATGCCAGTATCATGCAGCTCGCGGATCCAGTAATGAGTGACCCGACAGTAAAACTAAACATATCTATAACTAGTTTAGGTAGTTTGAGAGGTAATTAAAATAGCTACGTGTGATATTCTAACCTGAAGTGTGTGTTTTGTCCGCTCACCGCTGCAGGTGATTATGCAGAGCTGCGTGTCGACTCGTCAGCAGCAGCTGATCTCTCTCTCCCGTCAGATTAGACTTCACTCGCGTTTATGTCCATATCGATCAGATCCAGCTAGTTCTAGCTAATGATATGACTACCTGCTTATCAAAAGACACCTACACAATAAGTGTCGCTATGCAACTGGGTGAGGCCACAAAGTATAGCGCAGCATTATGCATTTGTTTACATGCCCACCGGAACCCCGAGGCATTACCAACAGATCAACGCACAATCAACCCATACAGGACATCTCTTTCTTTAGACATTAGAATTGACTATTCTTGTCTGTCACATACTCTTCTATTCTGTTACATAAGTGGCGCAACTGAAGCGGTATTGCGCTAAAGGGAAATTATTTTGACCGAAGAGATTTAGATTTGCCGGCTAACGGGAAATCTGACGTCGCCATTTTGTGTGCTTCGCGGATGCGCTCGGCTCCTCTCGACTGCTGCTCGGGTCTGCTCGGTCAGCTTCCGGATGAGGAGGCATTCGACCAATTTACAGTAGATAACTTTACAAACATTTTTAACAGGGGCCATAATAGTGTAAATAATGTTTGTTTTGGCAGTTATAACTGAATGTAATGTTTTCTACTTTTTTACATCTGGGAAGGCATCTGCCTTCATCAGATGGAAAGTGTCTTGACCAACAACTTAAGTATTTCTTATAGCTATGCAGGGCATGCAAGCGAGCAAACACAAACAAACAAGTGAAATGAAGAATACAATTGAAATTGTACAATATAATATTGTGGTCGTTCATCTTATAATTCAGTCTAGAGAACCAGACAGCATCTAAGACCTGCAAAAATCTAAATGTTCTAGGGTGAGGCCCCCCAAACCCTTCGTGCGTAATTTCGTCCGCGCACATTTTTCAGGGCAATCTCTATTGGGCTCAGGGCCATCTGTAAATTAGCTTAGATGGCCCACAGGGCCATCTCCCAAAATCCTTAATGTCATGCACTGAAGTATGTGAACATAACCAATAACCTACCATAGCCAATAACAAATTAATGTAACTTATTTTATTTGTGTTGTTCATTCATATCTTATTTTACCTTAACATTTATTTATTTATGCATTTTTTTTATCTCTCCAGTTTTAAAGGATATTTTTGGTTACTGTCCTATAGTATGTTGGAATGATTTCAAACCTGTTTATCCCAATAATTATAAAGGAGTGCCTTGGAAATATGTGTTTACATACATTGTGACCAAACCGTTTAAACTTAGACTAAAGTTAACTATCTAAACACTCAGAGTCCTTTACCTCACTGAGCTGTAGTCATCACTACAGGTATTGAATACCTTTAGTTACTTCACAGATTTGGATCAATGATGTGAAATATAATCAACTCTTAAATCAGACTTTAGTTCCCCCTGGAGTAAATTCACAAGCTACCCTGCAGTATATACACACACGTATATACACACACGTATACACACACACACACACACACACACACACACACACACACACACACACACACACACACACACACACACACACACACACACACACACACACACACACACACACACACACACACACACACACACACACACACACACACACACACACACACCACACACAACACACACACACACACACACACACACACACACACACACACACACACACAACAACACACACACACACACAACACACACACACACACACACACACACACACACACACAACCACACACACTACCCTCTCCTCTTCGTCCTGGTTCTTCAGTCTTTCTTCTCCTTGATAAAACACTGCCGTTAAACACACTAATCTCCCTTTAATGCCAACGTATGTTTACCGATTAGCAACGTGGTATAAAAAGCTACGAAAAAAGAACGGGAGGCAAAAAAACACGGTTTACGGATAAATCACCCTCCAAGGATAAACTAAGTATTTGTATGTGTTTTAAAAGTCTCTTAAACATATTATATTCGGTATGAATCTGCGTCAACGTCTGTTAGCAACGTCTAGCTTCTGAGGACCGGAAGCTAGAAACGGACCACCACAATGCATCATGGGATTTTAGTTTTTCTTTTAAACATACATTCACTGCCTCTCTGTGGTGAACAACGGTATTAAAATAAATATGAATTACAATAATAATAATAATAATAATTATAATAATAATAATAATAATAATATACAAATATGGGACTGGTATGGCGGATTTTAAACCTTGGGGAAAATGTGTTTGTTTAAATACCGAGTGTCCGTTCTGCACTGACAAAGAGACAATCATGCTACATGGACTGTCACAGACTGAAACCTCTTTTTAATGTTTTTAAAACTGTGTTTTTAGATTGTGGGGAGATTTTTACAGACACTGCTTTTATTTTTGGTGCTGGCTACAAGAAAAATAGTGCAGGAAAGTGGGAGCTTTTGAATTTTATTCTGGGGCAGGCAATAATGTCGATCTACAAAAGCAGGACAAACAAAGTAAACAGTACAGCCGGTCAGCAACTCACAAACATGTTTTTATCTTTGGTAAAAGCAAGAGTGACTGTAGATTTTAGATTTCACTGTCTGATGATAAACAGTGATAAGTATGTAGTGTCTCTACTTTAAAGAGTCCTCTCCCGCTGATGTTCATGTCAGTATGTGTCTCTACTCTAAAGAGTCATCTCCTGCTGATGTTCAGGTATCTATATGTAGTGTCTCTACTTTAAAGAGTCCTCTCCTGCTGATGTTCAGGTGTATATCAGTATGTGGTCTCTCTACTTTAAAGAGTCCTCTCCTGCTGATGTCCAGGTGTATATCAGTATGTAGTGTCTCTACTTTAAAGAGTCTGTTGTGACACTAGGAACAACTAATAACCCTGCATTCTTGGAACGCAATGCCCTAGTAGGACAGTAGGGTATAATGAGTTCTTTAAGGTAAGATGGCGCCTGCCCATTAAGGGCTTTGTAGGCGAGAAGAAGAATTTTAAATTCTATCCTGTGTTCTATAGGGAGCCAGTGTAAGGCAGCCAGAACAGGAGTAATGTGGTCCCTTTTCCTAACTCTGGTTAGTACACGAGCTGCAGCATTTTGAATCAGCTGAAGCGACTTGACTGACTTCTTGGTACACCCTGATAATAAAGAGTTACAATAATCCAGCCTTGAAGTAACAAATGCATGGACTAGTTTCTCTGCATCGTTTTGAGGCAAGATATGCCTAATTTTGGCAATGTTACGTAGATGGAAGTAGGCGGTCCTTGAGATTGATTTTATGTGGGCGTTAAAGGATAAATCCTGATCAAATATAACACCAAGATTCCTTACAGTCTCACTGGAGGCCAAATTAATGCCATCCATAGTTAGTATATCTTTAGATAGTTTGTTTCGTAGATTCTTTGGGCCGAGTACAATAACTTCAGTTTTGGTCGTGTTTAACATCAAAAAGTTTAAGGTCATCCACGTTTTTAAGTCCTTGAGGCAGTCTTGAATTTTATTTAGGTGATTGGTTTCATCAGGCTTGATGGATAAATATAGTTGAGTATCATCCGTATAACAATGGAAATGTACAGAATTATTCCTTATAATATTGCCTAGCGGAAGCATATTTCGCATATATATATATATATTTTTTTTTTCCGGATTCCGAAGCTAATACCTCATTCACACCAACGGTGTTTCGGGGCCAGTTCGGAGCTGG